GCATGTTGGGCTCACGACCGCCGTGAGCACAGCCTTGAGCACTTGCAGCTGAACGTCGTTTTCCGAGTGATCGTTGCAGCTGCATACGACCTCGATGACCGCGTCGACGAGCAGCATGCGCCCGGTCGGCGTCGTGTTCATGGTCTCGTCCGTGAGATGTAGCGCGCGCTGCAGGCGATCCTGAAGGCTCGTCGAGATTGGCTGGTCGCCTTTTAGGTAGCCAAAGGCCATCATCTTCTCGAGGCAGTCCATGGCGAGACACGTGATCTTGCTCTGCTTGGAGAGGATCGCGAGGAAGAGCGGGCCGACGCATGTCTCTTCGGGCAGATTCGGTGTCCCCGCCTTGAGGTGCGAGAGCACTTCGTCACAGCTCTCGCGCAGCTCCTTGTCCTTGTCCCGCTTCCCGAGGAGCTTCCGGACCTTGCCCACCGTGCGCTCGGCGAAGACCTCCATGCTCGCGCTGTACCAAAACTGTCGACGACCACACCCTTTTTTGTCGTCGGCGACCAGATTTTAAATTACAGCCGTAAACAACATTATTGTATGTGCTTTTTTTAAATGTACCAATCCGGATGATGTACCCGCATCCGGATTATCACAATCCACGTGGCTCAATTCACGCACCCTACACGATCCTGCACATAACATCGCCCTCCGTGGGTCGTGGCTTGGCGCCAATGGTTCTTTTCTATATCTGTATATACGTATTCCATCAAGGTGCTGCGTGTTTCGCTCGCCAAACGCGCACATTGACCCGACCGGCGCCATAACCGTGCTTTTCTTGCGTGTGTCTAGCCTCAACCGGAGGACAATCATTCCACCCCGAACCAGCGACGATGGTTTGCTTGCTGTTGGAAGCAGGCCTCTCGCTATGCGCACGCAGCCGTCGTCGCTAAGTGCACTGAACGCTCATGCGGTAGCTTGCGTCGTCTCGTCGTTGACGCCGTGTATTGCTGTCGCACCGCCTGTCGCTCGCATGTCATCGCACGGGCAGGAGCCATGGGCTGGAGCATGTCATGGCAGGTATCGTGCGGAGCATGCCCATTCATATCCAGTGCGGCGTCGAAAGCATCGCAGTGGCTACGACCACCGAGGCTGCTCATCTGATAAGCAGCCTCGGTGGTCAGTGAAAGGAGACTGTAATTCGCTGCTCGGTGCACTGACCGCGTCCACCGGAACCCATTCGGCGTACGCATGGGTCCTTCGGCACTGCGCACAGACGATCGAGTCTGCTTTCCACGTGTCTACTTTGGCATCGACGACAATGTCCTCGCACATTTGCCAGCGCGCATAACCTGCCGCCAGCCAGAGAAAAGGCAGATCACCCATGGCGCGACGTCGCCGCACAAGCCGATGCCTTGTGGTAGGTAGCCTCTTGTTCAAGGCACCGAGCAGGGCGAGTCACTAATACTTGGAGAAGAGCCTCGATCCGAGCAGAATGGCTGCCAGAGTCCAACGCAAGGTACGGTTGCCGTCGGCGACAAAGGCCACCTGCATTGCAGATGGACTCGGTTTCTGTACAAAGTGGTATTTTCATCCGTTGGCAATCGCAGGTGCGCAGGTGGGGAGACGAGTGGGGATAGCTTCCGCTGGGGCCGTCTACACCTGCGCGTTGCTGCTGTGCGCAACGGTCTATGCTTCTACAGGTAGACCAATGCAGCGTCATCGATAGTGGGGGTAGGTACTTATGTACTAGTAGTGCGGTGGCAAACCTTGGCTTTCGACGCGCAAGCGCTCCAACCTGCATGGCCCCATGCGTCGGCATCACTTTCAGTCCACTAGTGCTGGAAATGGTGCATACGTCGAAGCTCGCAGAGCATCTCCCGAGCAAGCGCAGACCGCCAAGAAGACCATGGTGCACACGCCTACATCGATGGTCTCAACAATGCGTCGTATGTGCCGTCATGCCGGCATCCGAGAGCTGCAGTTGCCCCGCTTGTTACCACGCGACGTCGACATCGACCGAACCAAGTCTCCTGTTCGGCTCGGCTCGCAGCGGCTGTCCTAGAGGACGAGCGCTGGCTTGGTATTATCTGCAGTCTTCGGCCGCCAGAAAATCCTTGCTTCTGGACGAGGTCGGGGAGAAGAGCGCAATAGCACAGACATGCGCCTCACAAGACTTTGCATCCTTCTTGCATGTTTGTGGCTTAGAGCTTGGCACTGCGGGGCGGTGCGTGGTGGGCGTGCCAGTGTAGCGCAATGGCTTCGCGCGTGCAGACCCAAATCTCGTCTCGGAATTGCTCCATGTAGTCGAGGAAACGCAGAAGCCCGGCCGTGCGCGCCGGCAAGCCAACCTAGACATACCTACTGAGAACCGCAGAGACAAGCAGCGTGCGCGTACAATGCGGCAGTGGAGACCGATGGACATCATTTTGGGGGCGCCACTTCGCCCTTCGGCGAGGAGCGTATCAAATGCGTCCTTGAGCGCGACAAAGAACTGATCGCTGTTGGC